CTCTTTCTCCAAAACCGTCCGGTTTTGCGGGTTTTGAAAACAACAGGCGATTAGCGTCGGGAACAACACCCGAGACAGTCGATCGTCGCTGAAGTACTCGATGGGCAGCGAACACAACTGCTGGACGGCAGTCGGCCGTTGGCCCGACTCTAACAACGCCTGTAATCAAACGAACAATAAGTTTAGTGACCAATGAAATGGACAGTTAGGCCAAGTAGTACCTGATTCTCGTCGTTGAGGACAACAAAGTTGCCGACCAATAGTATCGCTTCGTTTAGCAGCGCTTCCCTCTTATGGTGAGTGCAATACCAGAGAAGGTATGAACAGATGTGCCGGAGCTGTAGTGACAGCCCTTCGCCGCCCAAAACACACTATAAAACCACATAAAAAACATTAGCACATGAACTGATAGGACAGCACAGCACAGGTCACACATACCTGAACCACATTCAGATCCAATAGCGACACGTAATTCAAAAGTCTGATCACTTCTAGAGTCAGATCCAGCGTATGGTCGGCCACAGCGGGCGGTCGATCGCCGTCAGCCCTTTGAGGCGCACCCGAGTGGAGGAGCACTCCGTAGATGAGGGACACAACACCGCCGATGTGTGTCATCTGAAACGTGAGCATCAGTTGTGTGTCGTCGTCGGCGAGACGGGCGCCGAACCTGTGCTCCACTCGAAGTGCCATCAGTTTGGAGAGTGNTGAAACGTGAGCATCAGTTGTGTGTCGTCGTCGGCGAGACGGGCGCCGAACCTCTCCTCCACTCGAAGTGCCATCAGTTTGGAGAGTGAGCTGAAGAGGGAGACAACACTACGCAGGCATTGGGTCAGCTCCGGGTTGTCGTCGACGGGGCCCCGAGTGTTGGCCATCATTAGCGACAACTTATCAATCATTCCGACCGATACTATATAACTGTTAGTAATAGACATGAGTTATCTTATAGCTAATCCAGTGTTTGCCTGTCAGACACAATACCTGATCACGTCTTGAATGATGTGATTGAAGGCCAGACTATCGTCGGTACTGTCGGTGAGCGTCGAGTAGTGGCCGTGAAGTGTGTCAAAGATGGTGGACAGGAGTCGACACAGGGCTCCGACCACTATATCGCATGTCTGAGTAGTGGTTCCGCCACTACTAGTACTCGTGAGAGTTGTGTCCAATAACTATAGATTAAAACAAATTGTAAAACAAAACTGAAAGACAAACAATTGGGCCATACATTGATCCGATGGCACAGAATGTCCAACAAATCGATCACGTGTTGGGATTGGAGGACATAGTCGGCCACATCCAAGTGCTGACCGCAGACCAGTTCGTAAAGTGCGGCTAACTTGGCGTTGGACCGGTCGGTGAGTGATGTGGGCCTCTCTCGGGTGCCGTTCATTATTCGGGACAACATTTTGGTCAACAATTGGACGCCATTTAGCGAATGAAAGTAC